CTTTTACTAGTTTCAGGATATCATCAAATTTTGGCTCGATACCCTCATCCTCCATACGGGAGCTTATCTTCACCCACTTCCTTTGCAGTCGAGTAGGTAGGCGTCTTGCTATTACTTCTAGTATAAAACTCGAGTTGAGGTCACTCATGCAATTCATCGAAATCAAGGTATTCTTATAAGTCATAAGATTATCTAAAAACTCAGTAAGTGCCTTGGAGTCATCTTGAAGTTGACTGCCGTTACCTTTGACAGCTTCGTATACGTTCCTTACAATCATTGAAGGTCTTCCAAACCTTTGACGTAATATGCTCATAGCCTCATCGTAGCCCTCTTTTGGCTTCATAAACTTACAACACTGTATAGCTCTTGCAGCAATTCCAGTGCAATACCTCATCAAATATATCAACTTCATTTCATCAGTTAATAGAAAACCACTCAGCATGATCTCAAACTCCTTTACAAATTGTAAATAATCAGCTGGGTTTCCATCAAAACACCGTGGTTCAAATTTAGGGAGTTTGATGTTCCTATTATCCCTGAACGGCGAAACAGTAACATCAACCATGTCATGCTTAACATCAGACACATCGTTACAAGTAACAGACAAGTCACCATGACTTACTTTCCTGTTTGCATCCAAGACGCTCTGTCCCTTCTTTGACCCAGGCATTGTTGAACTTGACCCAATTCCAAAAACGTTCCAGATATTGCTTGTTCAAAGAGGACTTGACCGGCACCAGGAAAGATGAACGGTGACTATCCAAACTGTTACCAGCTATCTGAATCGGCCAGAATCTGTTTCTACCGTCAGAAACTGTCAGCCACGTCTCGTAAACCGTTAATGCCCAGCTCTTGCTACGCTCGGGCTCACGCTGTCACTTGAAGTTTCTCAGAAACGCTTAGTAATAACGGACGAAAAAACCAAAACACCAATTGTTGACTCGCGGATTCTTTATTGTTACACCAACATATAAATCACGTATGACTAAGGTCTGTGAACAAATATTACAATAATAAATCACAATATTACTTCTGACGGTGTTTTACTCTCCTTTCTGAACAGCGACCGATGAGACGATGACTGTCGTATTGATGCCTCCGCGAAAAATTGGGGAAGTTGTGCTTGAGCAAACAACCATGAATTGATCGTTCAATCTTCAACTACATTGACACAGCTTCTCTCATGAAATTGATGAATTCATGATCCCTTACTAAATAGTAGTTACTTGCGCTTTAAATTTGACATGTTCCACTTTTCGTTAGGAGGATAGTATTTACGCGGTAGAGTATGTAGGGGGTCAACAAAGCATGTCAACTCAACTGAACCTCAGCCTTTTCGGCTTCAGGAATCAATTTAATTATCTCTGCAGATTGAAACACATCGTGGCCAATATAACTCTCAAGGGAAAGGAGAACGAGCTCAGGTCGAGCAGAACTGATGGCCATGCACAAACCATGGGCGTTTTATTCAGTCGAAACTTAAGTTGCTTAAGCAGCCTAACCAGGTAGTTTCCCAGAAGTAGCATACTGCTCACAGACCTCACCTAACCACTCTACTCGATAATGCCGGTGTGTCTGGATGTTTTCGTCCTCTTTGCAGATGCAATCTATTATCCATAATTGGTGTATTATTATTTTGATATCTGACAGCCTTTCCTGACTTAATGCTTATTATGCGCATTTATTTTGGCTTAAACTTACCCTTGGTGCTCTGCCTTGTTTTCGTGTAACTTCAGACCTCTGACGATCAAGTATGGCCTTGACTTTCTTGGCGTTATTCTGAATAAACTGAAGGGAAGTGATCGGTTTCCAATTCCACCATTTCATTCTCGCTGGCAGGAGTTTGGCTCTCCTTTGCTGGAAATAATCTTGTGGCCGTTAATAATTCCCCAAATTATTAGTTTATATCATACTTTATTCACTATAGGGGGCTGTTCTCAACTGTTTTAATCAACTAAACATGTGGTCAAACATCCACACCATTTGTCATGCTCTCACGTTATGTTTGGCCTCTTATGCACGATCCCTGGCTGACTGAGCAACCATCATTGCACAGTGATTCTCGTCGCGAAATATATCTTATACATCGGGCGATCCTCCTGATGTTTCAATTTCTCTTTGTTATATGGAAAACAAGTACTATAGGAGTTGGAAAACAAGAAATTACCTATTTATAGCGTAACTTGCATAAAAGTCGAGATCCCAAAGTCTTGTTGATACTTGGGCGTTTAGAAGTCGTATTCATTCGGTCACCCACTTCCATATTGTATATATATTGTGAAAAAACATCTATAAACGTATGATTATCAGTTGAAAAGCTTCAGGTATTTTCCTGACGACATTCTCTTATGCGCTGCTTGCCAATCAAATGCTCATAAATTGTAATTCTTGTTGTTTCATAAACACGATACAGGGTGATTTCTTACTTCATACTTTGTCACTGAGCATTCTGAAGTTTTAAATTTGGTTTTGTGCTTCTACATCGTGTGCGTTGGTGGCACAGTGGTTGGGACTCTCGCCGACCATGCACATGGTCCGGGGTTCGAGCTCGCGCCGATGCACACCTGATATCTATGGTCGGCCTGCGAAACTTTGGGCTACCGATATCCGTGCTGAAAATTCCATACTTGTACCAAAAATACAGTGTAGAATCAAGCTGTAATAAAAAAATTAAAAAAAATAAAATCCAATGATGAGTTGATTGTTCACGTACTGAAACAGTTACTTACCATATGTTCAAAACTTTCGACTGTTTTCGGTGAAATGAGCAAATTTTAACTGCACTCCTCTAAAAGTACACTGATGAAAATTGGTTGCAGAGTGATTGCTTCTCAATTCATTGCTTCTAAAGGAAAAAAGATTAATAAATGAAGCACAGAAACAGCCTGACAGTGTTCGACAGTCTTCATCCCCAGATTTTCATCAAGTCTTTAATTGTATCTCACGGTAATCATTTCCCAAACACTAGTGAACAACATTATGTCAAGTAATGTAAGACCAGAAGGTGGGGGATGGGTGGAGAAATCGTTACTGGATCAGATGAACCTGAAGAGAGGGTAAGAACTAAAGATGGACCTGAGTGTTGGATTTCTAATTGTCTTGTCATACACGAATACTAAGGTTAGTACACTATTTTTCATCGAAAATTCTTTCTGTGTCTTCGACAATATGGTTTCTAATATAACTGTCTTTGGAACAACAGGGTGCTTTGGTGTGACTGTTTCATTGAAGTCTGAGATTTCAAATCCTTGTTGCTAGTTATCGACCGCAACACAGAGTGAAATAAACCAAGCAGCGAAGAAGGAGGTGCAGAGAAGCACTGGAGCAAACATTTCTACGTCACGCTGATAACGCGAGCAGGACAGTGTGCGGGTGAGACTACAAAGCAACATTTCAAATAGCCAGGTCCCTTTCCTAGGAGATCTGTGTAGGTGAAACCAAGCAAAGATCGTAAAGAAAACCTAAGAATCGGCACACTGATCAATTTGAAGGACTCTTAAATGTACAACTACGTACAACCCGTCCAGAAATGCCACCAGCAAACATTAGACTGTAAGTGGACATATACTATCAGGAGAAATCAGGAGCCTGGAAGTCCATATACTCGCTAAAAACGCAGTAAGCATTATGCAGGGATGAAATGCACATGGAGGCATTGAAACTGGACCAAGAACCCCCAGTGAACACTGGGAAGGGTGCATGATAAATAGTGTGTACCTGGCGATTGGATGAAACTTTTCTAGACTGGATGCGAAAGAAAGACGTCTTAAATCTATGCGCGAACTCGTGTGCCAACATGTATCGGTTCACCTTATCTGGCAAGGGCTAGGCGAGTGAAAGTAAACTATGGTCGCCAAGAATGAATAATCACGTTACTAGTCATGAATGCAGCACGAGTCTAGCCTTAAGAGTTTCCTAGTGATCTGAAAAATACCGTGCCATATAATTGGAACACTTCAGCATCAAAATAAGATATGACAGACATCTAAAGGCAGGTCCTTATGACGTTCTGCGTGACTGTTTGTGGTGACAGGCTATTGGCTAATAAGTCTATATTCCATAAGACGTGATTGGATACCTCCTGTATTAAACCCTGGCTGGGTAACCTACAGACTAAATTATGCTAGTTTAAAAGAGTATCATGTTGCCTCTCAGGAAACCCCCTTCATTAGTGGTCGCTTAGGCCCAAACAAAATGGTGGAACAAAACACGTGATCAGCTGATAATTTGACATATGGGTGGGACCGGATAGAAACTGGATTCCTAGAGGGGGCACCTGACCAAGAAAAGCCTTATGGTGAACCCACATTTATGGGCATACGCGGTATTCTGGCACTAGTCACTAGTTAAGCTGGTTCGAGTAATCTCGGAACCTGACGGTGACACCAGAGTGGAGCAACACCACATACCAACCTCACACGGTTGCAGAAAAGCAAGAGGTAGGTTCTAAAGACAAACACATGGTGGGACTAACCGAAAAGAAGTAATGCTAGAAGAGCGTCTTTGCATGCATTTCACACAAAGAAGTGGGTTACCTATCGAAAGTGAGTAAATGGTTATTTTCATTGTTCCTGTCCTTAAGATAATTTTCTGATTATTTCCTTAAACTCTACAGTTTATTCGTTGATTATTATCGTTAACGTAATAAGGTTCTAAGGTAATTTTCCGCTGTGTGATAGAAAACAGCGTTGTTTACTATTTACAATTCCACTCCATTGAAATAGACTGACATACCTCCTTCTCTTGATTTGAGTAGGGATACGGCAGTCGATGGATTGATTCACCTCTAGAAATGTGGAACAATCCCAAAACACCAAGGAGCCAACTCCAATAAATTGACCTTATGGAATAGATACCACATCTAGGGTTGACTGAATTGACTTTGAGTAGTCAATCTAAATCGTCTTTTGGAAAAAAACTGGCAATAATTATGTAAGAAAGTTATTTACGCCAAATATATGGTAAAATGAGTTAAGAGAAGGTTCAAATTTCTTGTGTGGCTCAGAAACATATCAGAGCTTCTCAGAAGCAATGTAATTGTCATATCAAACGAGTTTCGCTACTCGCATTCATTTTGAAGGGCATTGGGAATTGTATATTTGCATCAGCGGTATTTTTGCTCTTCACGTAACTGTTTAGCGTGATGGAGCATATGCCGTTATCAGAGTTGAGTTTCCAGCTTTCTCGGGATCCTCTGTCATATCGATCAGATGTAAGCTTAAATTTTTTAATATTTTTGTAGTTTGAGGCCCAGCTAGAGAGCTATACCACACTTAGACAGTCTTTCTCATCTGCACCTTCTCAACACATTGGCCGTCTTGAAGAGCTTTTGTTATTTTTGTCTCAGGTTGTTCGCTTAAATAAAGTCTGATTTCCTAAAAGGTTGTTAAACACTATCCAGATCATGTCGGGGAGTTTGCTTCCAGTATAATTCAAACACTACTGTCTCGCGCATTTGGTATGCATCCCGAGATGCGTATGGTAATTTTTACAAACAAATATATATCTGTCTTCAGGCTTTCTTAAGAGCGTTTATGCGTCTTCGAACCAAAAATCTGATACCGGCAGCACAAGCGGTTGATGTTGCTTTCAAATTACACAGATGTCATGATAAACAAGTCCGAAAAACTTTACGTCACTTTCTAGTAAGTGATATTAAAAGAATGAACAAAAGCCAAAAACAAACTAAGGTCAATGCAGTAAGTTGTGTGTTTTGCATTCAACAGGAGTTTCAGGTCATCCTTACATTCCTTTCAAAGATGATAAAGGATAATAGCTCGACTGTAGCACGTGAAGCGGTGCTAATATTATTGTGCTTGTTTAAAAAGAATGTGTGGAATGATGCACGAACTGCCAATACTATTGCAGACTCATGTTTGGTCAACAAGAAGAAAGTAATTTCACATTTTCCGTTCTAACATGTATAGGTATACGTCCCCGCTGTCCAGTTTTTCTTGGGGAAGATGAAGGCGATTGGTGAATTGGAAAGTAGCAGTGATTCCGAATCAGATGTTGTAAGTTGCTGTGTAATGATATTTTGGTTTTTTGTGTTCCAAGAATGAATGTTTGCTTGTTGGTTATTATGAGGGCTTTAACTTACTAAACATCTATGCAGGCTTTGCTCTTGTTGTTGTGTAAGATTTTTCAGAATTAGTCATTTTGCATCGATAAGTTCAAATACGGCTTCATAAATATGATAGTTCTTTTTACTAAGGTTTGCTTATAAGGCATCAATCATCTCTCAGCTGCTATTTTTTCCAAAGATAGTATATTTATTCGATTATTCTTTGAAACGAGTATTACTATTGTCCCCGGATAATGGTCTAGTTATCTCCTTAACTGCAAAGGTATAGTGTTTTCATAGATAAGCTGGACTTATGAATTCCTCTGAGGTCTTTGTTTTGTCATCTATTAAGCGACCACCATAAGTATACGAATTGATTCATGGCTGGAAACACTTCCTAACTTAACATGTTATTTATAAGGTGATAATTAATTGTTAAGTTGCCATATTTTACATGACATTGACTTCGTAACATATTCACTGAGTCCAACAGTCTACTCATTATCTCATAAAAGTTTATTTTTATGGTTATCATATTATAGTTCCCGAAGGATTAAATTCACTTGACAGGACGGTGAAAAGTTATGTCTCTAAGATGGTGCATCGAGTATCTCCAAACGAGAAAAAACAAAACTCTCTTCCCCTCCATTTTCACTGCTTCTTTCTAATCTCCCATTGAGGAAATTCCAAAGGCAGCTCTGAAGGATATTAAAATAAGACACTTAAAAAATGCCACATTACTCCTAATGTTAGCCAAACTCGTCGAGCACCTTATATTCTTCACACATAAGAGTGACTTTTCGGAAAACATGTGTCATTTGACACTGTGTTACGCAGTGAACGTTGTGTAATTCAGTATGGGCTTGTTTCTGTGTGTGATAGCGTTTGCCTGGCTGTCAAACTTTAAAAGTAAGTGTGAGTCGAAAAAACTAAGGACACTTGGATATTATCATTGCTTACCTAGTATTGCTTATTAGTACTACTCACGTCGTACCGTATATTTTAGAAAATACTTTCATTGGTCTTAAGGTAGTGACCAATGTCGTGTGCATCGCGATGGCGAGTCACCTGGTATGCTGACCACATTTCAAACAAATGATATAATTCAGTCTGCACAAACCCAAGAATTAGATGCATGACGTTGGTTACTACCTAGTGACCAACCACAATACCCACAATACAGTCTTGCAGAAGATCAATGGTAACGCCTCTGACTGTAGCACTGGGTGACGCTTTCGAGTCTCTTAGGTGACATAAGTTGCTTCAAGGATGCAGATACGTCCTACTTAGCAGTGTCAACAAACACGAAACCTAGATTCCGGGACTTCCTATTGCTTGTCTCTAACATGAGTATTGGAAAACAATTTATCCTGCAACTTGCTAATTAGTTCGCAGTTCTCACCGTTGGTGAACTTTTATGTACCCAAACAAGCGAAATGTGCGTCTGGTGTTTAAATCACTTCGATGTGGCTAGCAAGCAGTGCTGGTTCATGTGAGTGGTATACAATTACTCATCTCAATCAATAGTGTATAGATTACTCTGTTGTTGGGTAAGCTAAATTATTCAATTTCCCTTTTCCATAGTTTTTGTGTATCGTCATTAAAAACGGGTCTTTAGAAGTTGGAAAGATGAAAAGGTCCATGAAATGGTACCCTATAAAGTAAATAATATCATTCAGACGTGTGTGTGTAATTTCGGCTTCTGAAATTGTCAGAGAAGTAAATGGGCGTTTTCATCTCATCATAACTTTCTGTTGATTTAATTACATATTCACTTCTCAGGATGAAGAGACCAAGATTAAACAATTACGCATGGGTCATCGTGTCGGTGCTAAGACAAAAGGCCGTCAAAAGCGTCTTGAACGATCCATTAAAAATGTTAACAAAGAAAAGGAAAGGAAAGTGAAAAAGCGTGCTGAATTAACCAATTTCCATGCTTTGAATATGCTGCACGATCCACAAACGTTTGCTGAAAAACTTTTTCGAAAATTGGAGCGATGTTCAGATCGTTTTGAGATCCGTTTGCTTATTCTCGACTTGATTAGTCGACTTATTGGATTGAATAAACTTATTTTGCTGAATTTTTATCCCTTCATACAACGGTTCTTACGTCCACAACAAAGAGGTTAGAAGTTGTTTTTGTACTATTTTATGCCAGTTTGTAATTCATGCAGTTCTTTATATACATATGTCATAATCAAATACTTGCTCTAGGATATTTCAGAATTATTTCTTATATTACCATGGTATGATATAATTTGTGGTTTATTGCTAGACCTTGTTTAAACTGGGAAAGATTCATCATGACCCAGATGTGTTCTTAAAGCTTATAGTACTACTCATTTGCCCAGGCCGAAGTAATTGGACCAGGAACCCATCCACTGAATGTTGAATACCCAAGCCGATGAGCCACATCTCCATCTTCTGGGGTTTACTGTATACAGTATTAACAGTTCGGTAAATTTTGGTAAAATTAATTCAGGAGTGTTTTAGAAGGGCGTATGTTAGTGGACTGTGCGTCGTTGGCACAGTGGTTAGGACGCTCGCCGACCACGCACATGGTCCGGGGTTCGACCCCCGACCACTGACGCATTCCTTTACCTCGCGAAGCCAGAAATAAAGCTGGTGAAGAGGATAGGTTTGGCATTTAGGTTAACAATCTCTATCCTGTAAAAATAAACACCACTGCTACAGAAACTACAAGCCCTTTAGTTTGAAGCCCTGTGCTCCACTGGGAACGTGAAGGAATGAAAAAAAGTGTTAGTGGACTTATTTATCTATTATTTCAGAGTATAAAATTCACACCCTTTATCCATATTTTTCTAACTCACTTAATTTCTACTGAGTAAAGTGTTCATTAGTCAATCGTAATTGAGACATTAAACAATGTTACTATATCTATCCATCTTTTGAGATATCTCATTCTGTTAGTTTAGTCTACTCCAGGTAACGCAAATGAAGGAAAATTCTCGTGATAATGATATTCGACACAAAAACAGTGCTGATCGAATACTTATATATATATATATATATATATATATGATTGTTGTATTCCACTATGATATGGTGTGATCTTTAATAAGTTGCCAACAGTGAGAAAGGAAAACATTTCGTGTGACTAAATTTCAATACAGAGAGTTTCACAAAAGTGTGGCAGTTCAATTTGTCATACTTCATGTAGCGCACAAAGGTAGAGAATAAAAAAGAAATTCAAAAACCGGAGTGGAACAGAGAAATGTTTGGAATAAAGAATTTTTTCTTTCACGTTCCCCAGTGGAACATAGGGCTTCAAGCTAGTGGCTTTAAGTTTCTGTAGCAATGGTGTTTATTTTTACAGGATGGGTTTGCTAGCCTCATGCCCAACCTTTCCTCTTTACCAGCATTATTTCTGGCTTGGCGAGGTAAAGGAGTGCGTCAGTGGCCGGGAATTGAACCCCGGACCATTTGCATGGTCGGCGAGCATCCTTCCATATTAGTTTGATTATTAAATGTATCACACAGTGAAACAGTATTGTATACTGGATGACGTTTCGAACACAATTTATTGTTCATAATCATATCAATTTTTGTCACACGACTTCGAGATTTGATTTTTATAGTTTTCTCTGTCTTCTCCTATTTGTTGTATGGGCAGTAGATTCAACACCGGTCCCAGATATATGGAAAATTCTACTGCCCATACAACAAATAGGAGAAGACAGAGAAAACTATAAAAATCAAATCTCGAAGTCGTGTGACAAAAATTGATATGATTATGAACAATAAATTGTGTTCGAAACGTCATCCAGTATACAATACTGTTTCACTGTGTGATACATTTAATAATCAAACTAATATGGAATTACTTAAAACCACAGTGCCCAAGTTTTACACATATATTAACACGGCGAGCATCCTATCCGCTATGCCACTGACGCACATTGGAAGAAGGAATAATAATCTGAAAAAAATATGAGGACTTATCAGGTGTGGAAGGTTGCAAAGAGTAAATGTATCTGCACCATTGAAAATGATTTTCAGCCAATGATAACAGTCATTGGTTCTTAGCGTTTCGGGTAATCCATTCAGCCAGTCTACACCTCTCTCTCTACGTGGTTCAGACGAACTGTCACCAACTGTCTGACCACCCTTTACTCTCTAAGCATTTTTTGTTCATTTGTCAGTGTTTCTCTTCATTTACAGGAAATTAGTCGTGTATCTGTGTATCTGTTGAGAATAAGATTTCAAAATGTTTGCGTAATTGTAACATGCCTATAATGTCATCATCACAGTATTTCTAATCTACGCTGACGCATGTCTTCATCTTCCTACTTTGTTTCCGTAGAAATTACTCACCTGTTACTGTACTCGGCGCAAGCTAGCCATGACCAAGTTCCACCAGATGTAAGTCTTCATTCATTCATTGTACACTTGCTTCTCGCTCTTACACAGTATATTAATACTTCAGTAGAGTTATTTTTGACAACTGATTACGTTTTCATTATCTCACCGGCTAACTCTCTTTACGTATGTGTTGTTGGTCGTTAACACCGAACTTTTATTATAGCATGCTTGGCAGAAGTTTTGTAACAGTATAATTTCTCACCAAACATACTATTGTAAACGCATTTATTTTGAACCCAGTTCCAAGAACATTTAAAATTTAAAATTCCGCCTGTAGTTGAAACGATGCTTCCCAGGTAGGTACGTGAAGGAGCTTGTTTCTTTCATTTTCCTCCCATTTATACTGATTGTTGTTGTTGCTGTCGCTGTTGGCCAGGAATCTTCACCTCTGTTTTCTCTATGTTCACATGAGGGAAGTCCTATGTTCGATGCTTCTTCTATCGCCAACTTGTTGCTTTTCACTTGTATATCTTCCAGTTTGTGAGAAATCAAACATATGTCATCATCAGCGAAGTCCAGATCCTCCAACTTTTTTGTGTGGGTTCATGTTATGCCTGTTTCCTCATTGAGCGCTGTGTGTTGCATTATCCTATCTACTGCAATCAGGAAAATCATTGGCGATAGTGGGCAGCCTTACCTTACTCCCGTCCTCACTTCGAAGGATTATGTGAGTTTCCGTTGTGGATTACATGGCATGCAGTATTGCCATTCAACTGCTGGATGAGATTTATATTTGTCGGCGACACCCCGTAGTAGCGAAGTAGTTGCCAAATCATCTCTCAGTCGACGCTGTGCTGTCGAAGGCCTTTTCAAAGTCGATGAAGTTTCAAATACACCAGTTATTTTTTGTGTTTAAATGTATTGTTCTCTAAATGTGATGTTCGATTAAAACTGGTAGTAATTTTTAAGATAACCGTCGTCATGTGTTGCTACTGTAGTCTGTACATCTGACAAGATTTGTTATCGACACAAAATATCAAATAACCAGGTGATAGATTTGACATCAAAGGGAGAAAATGAACCAGTGTAGTGCGGCGAAATATAAGAGACACGAACAGAAGACGAAGAAGCACAATACGACGGTAAGCTTTAAGACAACACGGAAGATCCATGCAAATGATGACTTGCATATATGGTGTACATGAATTCCACATACAGACGTATCAAATTCCACATAAACATTCCGTTACCAAGTCTCTTACACTACATGCGTGTAAACGCAAAATGTGTAGATCTTTCCATGGTAACATTATGTAGTAGACAGCGTTATTTGGAATGACAACGTCGTCATCTGGTGGGAACTCTGACGCTATCATTATCATGTAGTCGGATCTCAGCACACACACAATGTAGTCTTCCACAATCAAACTTTTCAACAGTGAATCTTTTTACTTTTACTTAGTCAATTTTAGAGTATTACTGGTATTCAAATGAACTGTCGTCAAGATTTACAGAATAGTTCTAAAATATTTGGGCGCCGAGTAAGAAGTAGACGTTTGTAAAAAAATCATATTTGTAAAACCTCAGCGAGATTGAAATGAGTAATTCCAATGTTTCCTGTGTTCGGCAGTCTGGTCTGAATTTCTTCAGGGAAATTAGTAGAAATTAACATAACAGAGGTTTATATATAAAAGGAACATGTTTTGCCTTTTAAAAACTTTGTCCAGTCATGAGTCATAAAACAAGTATTAACAAGTATAATAAACAAATTTAATTGGTAGATGATGACTAGCAGTGCAATCCAGGATGCGCATTTCGTCCTGTGTGGGACTCGTCAACTGGATGTACCTGCATTTCCCAGTGAGTGATGATGTCCCCCACCGAGGCTCGAACCCAGTGCCCATAGTTTCAAATCTCCAGAGCGTTATCCACTAGATCACTTTTGGCACGAGAGCCACCTCTTGTGCAACGGGTCATGTTAATTTAATTTAATTTTAGATTTTCCCGTCGATTCATTGGACCGAAGTATAATAAACAAAATTGTATGAGTTGGGATCAAAATTTGACCTCGGACTTACAAATATTGATCTACCTTTGTTAAACACTTTAAACAGAGTGTAAGTGGGTAAACAGATGTAAAACATTTCTTAACGTCTCCATAAGAAGATATAGACAGTCGAGAATTTTGACCAAGTATTATTAATTAGTGATACATATCCATTTTTATTTATTAATCAGGATTTCCTATGCATCAGCTAACATCACACACCTTCATGTCTGTTCACACTGTTAGTATCTAGAATTTTACGATTAGACGTATTTTCAAAATTATGGTGTTTAGGACTAGAGTTCAGTTGAAGCACCCTGTCGAACTTATTGCTTTGTCTTCTTTCTGAATATTGAGCTGCTTTATTCTACCCGGCCTACTGGAGTTGTCAGATGACTTGACAGCTACAGATTTAGGATATGCATTCTCTTGCAGACAAGGGAGAGTGAAAACACGATGATTGTGGTAATTAGCATAGTTTCTCTGTTAATTTAATTCACTTGCAAAATAATTCGAATGAGCTGTCTGTCGTCAAGATTTGACAGAATAGTTCGATTAATTTCCCTGAAGAAGTTCGGATCGGATTTCCGAATGCAGAAAACGTTGGAATTACTCATTTCAATCTCGTTGAGATTTTGCAAATATATAATTTTTTTTTACAAATATTACTGGCATTGTTGATATGCTGTTTTTTAACTCATGGAAAATTCCCATTGTAACATATAGAAAATTAAAACAAGTGATTCAGCGAAGAGACTCTTTTCAATGAATTTATCATCAAGCTGTACAATCGTATATATATATGGTTTATAAGAAGTTATATCCGATGAGGTAACTGAATTAAATCATAGACGTGAATGCATAAAATAATAATAGTATAAAATGCAATTGAAACTAAAATGTTTGTGATTATAATCGTAGTTAAATGTCATATATAGAATAATCCATAGGATGGGTAGAACTTGGAAAGGGTGTGCAATTATAGGATTAGTAGGCGAATCGAATAAAATAAATAAATAAATAATAATATTGTATGAAATTTGATAACATAGAATTTAATGTTGCAAAACAGAATTGATTCAAATGACAAGTGGAACAAGTGAAATAATACCGGGGACAGTCCAAAGTGAGAGTAGTAATATTAGTAATTGACGTAATACGGAGGAGTATACAAATTGAATAGACAAAATGAAAAATTGGTAGAGCTAAAATATGATTGGGAATTACCATACTTTAGCATAGAGGGATTAGGGCCATGAAAGTTGGAGGGGTTGAACGAACTATTTCTGTATACAGAGTGATTTGGCTTTTCTGTTTCGATAGCCAAAGATGGCTTCAGCAATACAGATGAGTCGGGTATGTAGGGATTCGGGTAAATTACTCTTTGCCTTGTAGATGACTTTAAAGGCGGAGGCTATAGAGATAGGGTGACCAAGATGTTCAATGATCGCGCTTCTTATTGCTCCACTTTCACCTCTTCGTAACCACGTAGGATAGTGTTCTTGCACCGCCTTGGACAAAACTGGAGTCGAACAACCGATATACCTAACTCCACACGAGCAGGTAAATTGATAAACACACATAGAGTTGGTAAACAGCGGGATCTTGTCCTTTAGGTTATTGAACAGTAATGGTCGACTTGTAAAGGCTATTCTCAGAGATGCAGCAGAGAATGTTCTTTTCAGGGACTGTGATATCCTTCGTTTCATGATATCGGAAGCTAGGCTCTCTTTGAATTCCAGGCTCATGTCAAGTATTTTCTTTATATTTATTTTCTATATATACGATTGTACAACTTCATGATAAATTCGTTGAAAAGCGTCTCTTCACTGAATCCACACTTGTTTTGATATTTTCTATATCTTGTTTCCCCAGTGAACGCTATTTTTCCTCTTTCCTCTAGGTGATAGAACCCTTAGTACGTGTGATTGCAGATAACTTTATTACTGAGCGTGCTTCATCCGAGGCAATAGCTGTTGGCTTGAATTCAGTCCGTGAAATATGTGCTCGTTGTCCGTATGCAGTTACACAGGATTTATTGTCAGATTTAATTCAGTATAAATCATATCGAAATAAAAATGTTGTCGCTGCAGCACGATCGCTTATTCGACTCTATCGTCAAGTAAGTTGTCTTTGTTTTTTTTTTTTTTGAGAGGAAAATGCCGTGGAAACAACACGTCATCCATTCATCCTTTACATTAGTGGTCTTAATTATGAGTTATTTTTCTCATTTGAATTGTTGAAGGAGTCATTTAGGGTGGGGAGTTGTGCAGTAATGTTTTTTTTCCCTCAGTTAACATTCCTTCATCCCCTTATATTGCTAACGGGTTCGTTATATTTTTTCCGCACATGCCTCCAACTTTTCCTTGTTTGTACAAGATTAGAGTACGTCGGTGGCATAGTGGTTAGGACGCTCGTCGACCATGTACATGATGGATTGAGAATACTCTGAGGAGACCTCTGTCTATCTGTTTTCGACATAGAACTTTGCACAAATGTACGGCGGTTCAAGTCGCCGCACTCCACCCCTTGTAGCACACAAAGCAAGAGAAGAAAGTACAAGAAAAGCATAATAGAGACAGTATACAAAGGTGTGAGGCAAAGGAGGAGTAATAACGAAGAACAATATAGTTTCATTGGAAATCATAAGTCACAAGGAGTGGATGCATCTGCACCACTGAGAACGATTTTGAGCCATGTTACCAATTGTTTCCAACCATTGATTTTTACCGTTCCGAGGACCCCATCCTGGAAGTCTACACCGTCCTAGAGTTCTAGGTAAACAGGGGAAATCAATCGACGAAGTCGTGAAGCTACAAAGACTGAGATGGTTAGGACATGTGTTACGTATGCCAAGCCATCGCCTCCCTCGACGAGCAATGTTAGCGGATATAGGGTCAGGCTGGAAAAAAGCTAGCGGCGGTCAAACAAAAACTTGGCATCAGTCAATGAAATCCACAACAGTTGGTCTAAGCCACGTAGAAAGGTGTAGACTTCCAGGCTGGGGTTCTCGGGACGGTAAAAATCTATGGTTGGAAACAATTGGTGACATGGCTCAAAACCGTTCTCAGTGGCGCAGATGCATCCACTCCCTGTGACTTATGATCTTCAATGAAACTGTTTTGTGTTTCTTTATTACTCCTTTGTCTCACACCTCTGCTCACTGTTTCTATTATGCTTTTCTTGTACTTTCTTCTCTTGCTTCGCGTGCTACACGGAGTGTGGCGACTTGAACTTCCGCACATTTGTGCAAAGTTCTATGTCGAAAACAGACAGACAGACAGACAGACACCTTCCTACGTGGCTTAGACTAACTGTTGTAGATTTCATTGACTGGTGCCAAGTTTTTGTTTGACCGCTGCTAGCTTTTTTCCAGCCTGACCCTATACCCGCTAACATTGCCCTTTGTCGAGGAAGGCGATGACTAGGCATACGTAACACACGTCCTGACTATCTCAGTCTTTGTAACTTCACAACTTCGTCGATTGATTCCCCTCTTCATCTAGCACTCGACTGACGCCAATTCTCAATATTGCTCGCCTTATTATGCCACTTCATACGGGAGATAGAACCCAGGCACCTATGATCAAAGACAGCTAATCTTTTCATGTCTTCAACTCTCAGTGGCCAGGTCTCACATCCATAAAGGAGGACGGAGTGGACTGATGAGGAGACTGTTGGGTGATATCGCTCTCCAGGCCATAGCTCGAGTGGAACCTGAATGAGAAGCGACGAGTTGGGTGTTCGTCCGAGTGTGACATATATGTGGGAGGTCGTGTCGGGAGGATATGTGAGAGACTAGGGGCAATCGTGGACCACCCAGCTAAAGAGGACCACAGAGAATAGGACAAGGTGGAGACGTGCTGTTCAAGTTCTGTGTCCCACTCGGAACCCAAAGGGATAACATTAACGATGTCATGTGACATAGTGTTGTTATACATATGAAGAGATAACCAGTTCTGTACATTTTTCCTTCATTTCCTTAAAGAATTCCACAGTGTTTCGTTACAAGCTTATGATACTAACTAGCTCCTAAAACTTCTTTAAACAATAAGTGGTTAAACCAGTAGTCACCCAGTTGGTAAAAATCGAGTGCCTAACTGATAAATAACATCTCCAAAGGACAGGTCAGTAGGAAAAGATACCGATTCCGTGTTGTGCAGTCTTATAGTACTGTGTAGATTCAGTTTCTTTAGTTCCATTATGGGTAAATTTTTGTTCAGTAAACATTACTGTATCACAACACTGTGAGAGACTTTATCAAAACAAAAATTTACCCATAATGGAATTATACTCTACCACAGTGCACACGTTTTATTCTTATATCAGTTTCCTTAGATCTGAGATGCCAATCACCGGGCTAAGTGATTCGGTATAACGACGAATCATATCAAAATTTTAAAGGATGAAATCAATAAAAGATTTATTTCCTTGATACGAATGTATACAAGTAACACACATTAATAAAGTAGAATTTAATGAATTCATCAAATTTCGGTGAAACTCTTCAGCTGCATACTTCACATTGTAATTACATTGGGAGGTATCCAATGGAATATGAAATAAAGATTGAAGGATATTTAATCTATGAATGGAGATATCCTAAAGAAATAAGCCCCATTAAAACTGTCCAAACTGTTGTAAAGAAAGCTGTGTATATATCAGTTTGCCGTTTAATGGAGATAACATACAAGAATTAGTCAAATGGAAGTATCCTTAACTGAACGTAATGACTTAGGAATCGACTTGTTACCAGGGAATAATCTTATGGACTTAGAATATGCAGATGACATAGTCCTGTTAGGAGAGGATGCTGACAAAATGCAGAGTCTTCTGAACACCTTGAGCAGCAATCTTCGTATGTTTGGCATGCGATTCGCCCCTGTAAAATGTAAGATGCTGCTACAGGACTGGACTACGTCAACTCCGAGCTTAGTGATAGGGAGTGAAGTGATAGAACATGTTGACCACTTCACCTATTTGGGAAGTTGTATTAGCACCAACGGACTGATTGGGGATGAAATCTCAGCACGGATCCGAAAAGCTCGAGCTGCTTTCGCTGACTTACGCCATCTCTGGCGTAGGCGTGACATCCGGTTATCAACCAAGGGACGTGTGTACTGCTCATCAGTTCGCTCCGTCCTTCTCTATGGCTCTGAAACATGGCCAATACGCGTTGAAGACATGAAAAGGTTGACTGTTTTCGATCATAGATGTCTGCGATCTCTGTCTCACGTTAGGTGCTTTCACAAGGTAAGTAATGTTGACGTTAGGCGTAGAGTGTTGGGCAAAGAGGGAAAATCAATCGACGAGGCTATAAAGTTACATAGACTAAGATGGCTAGGTCACGTGCTGCGCATGCGTAACCACCGCCTCCCCCGACGGGCATTGCTAGCTGATATAGGTTCAGGTTGGAAAAGAGCCAGTGGTGGCCAAACAAAAACATGGCATCAATCCATGAAATCCTTGACAGTTAAACTGAGTCAGGTAGGGAGATGCAGACTCCCGGGTTGGGGCCCTCGGGACTCTAGGTATCAATGGCTGGAGACAATAGGTGACATGGCTCAAAATCGTTGTCAATGGCGCAGATGTATTCAATCTCTGTAATCTTTCATATTCCTTTCTACCATTACCCATTCTGTTTCACTCTTATATTTGTCAAACTCTATTGATTCTCTTCACTCATCTTCTTGTCTACCTCTGTGTGCTATTTGGAAGGTGGCAACTCGAACTGCTGCACTTCGGTGCCAAGTTCTATGTTAAATCCAGACAGACAGACAGACAGACAGACAGACAGACAGTCAAATGAAGAGTTGATAAAGCTATCAAGCGAAAGCATTATGCTGAAAAACTCGTGTTTCTTAACATCACCAAGCTAGTTGATGCTTCAGCAAACTGGAAAAGATTGGTCACCGATCCTCGACACATCAGACTGAGTATATCACATTGTGAGTGTGTTCGTGGAAAGGAATACATAGATCGTACGGAAAGGTGATTGTTCACTCGCATGAGGGAGTATTTCCCCGATTGTTTTAAAAAAACTTGCAGTCCAATTTGCTCAGAGTTCAATAACAAAGCATCTTGTGGACTACGGACATGATATTGACGCTGTCAAGTCATCCACTGCCAGCCGCAGATAAACAACCGAGAAGATGCTTGCAATTACGAAGGTCCTTTCTCGGATAACTAATTGTTTATTACAGTGATATAACTGAACTGTATTGCATTATTATCGTAATCTCTCAACCTGTCTTCCCCTTATGTATCTGAACATGATCTGAAAAATATTCACATCTGTCGTTTCGTACGTTTCATCCAATGTAATTCTAATGATTGATGAATTCATTAGATCCTGCTTTCAATGAAAAGATGATAGTGACACTATCTGTCTACTCAAACCTCTAGGCAGGTGGAAAGGATTTCGAACCTTTGACTAATCAGCTAAGTGCCTAATTCACTTAGCAGGGCCCAATTTTTAATTAGTTTCTTTATTCTGGGCCTTACTAGTCGACTTATTTTCCATGGGAGTCCGTGAACGTATTGAAAAAGTCTCATTATGAAGATGAAGACAGTAAGAAGCCTTTAGATACTGTAATAAGACTGAGAAATCTACGGGAGAGTTCAAAACTAGGACGAAACAGCTGTCCAGTACTCCCAGTGCTGGTTTTCCATTGGTTGTCTAACTGATGTCAGCTCATGATGAAATCCTCCAACCAATCAAACAAACAAAATCCCTACAAAACCAGTACTTGAAAATTGACCTGATGCCCAGTAGCGGCTGGTCCTATTCAGCCAGCGATCTGAGGTTCTAGTGGGAAGCCGTGCCCAGTAAGGTGCATTAGGTTGAAGGTGAGGCAGTAACTCACCAAAGAAGACAATGTGAATTGGTCCCTCTACATCATGAATTGGCAGAATTAGAATGCATGAACTGGCGATTCGATTGGGTCGCAGTGGCTTAATGGTCTACGAGCTCACTGGCCTTATAACCAGAAGGTGGTGCGCATGCCTAACCACCGCCTTCCCCGTCGGGCATTGTTAGCTGATATAGGTTCAGGTTGGAAAAGAGCCAGTGGTGGCCAAACAAAAACATGGCATCAATCCATGAAATCCTTGACAGTTAAACTGAGTCAGGTAGGGAGATGCAGACTCCCGGGTTGGGGCCCTCGGGACTCTAGGAATCAATGGCTGGAGACAATAGGTGACATGGCTCAAAATCGTTGTCAATGGCGCAGATGTATTCAATCTCTGTAATCTTTCATATTCCTTTCTACCATTACCCATTCTGTTTCACTCTTATATTTGTCAAACTCTATTGATTCTCTTCACTCATCTTCTTGTCTACCTCTGTGTGCTATTTGGAAGGTGGCAACTCGAACTGCTGCACTTCGGTGCCAAGTTCTGTGTTGAATCCAGACAGACAGAAGGTCCTGGGTCTGAACCCCTCAGTGCGAGTGCGTACTGATGAAGAGTCCCAAACTGGGACTACTGTCCAGTACTGCCAGTGCTGATTTTCCAATGGTTGTCTAACTGATGTCAGGTCATGATGAAATCCTCCAACCAATTAAACACAAATCCCTACAAAACCAATACTTGAAGAAAATATATATGTATATACATCTTTTGCGATCTCCAAGATCTGTGAAAACACCATGTTTCTCTGTGTAGTTACTCCTTCTTCTTCTTTACATTTTCTACCTTTGTGTGTGTGTGTGGATGTGTCAACTAGAATTTCTCAACTTTTGTGTTCACTGGTCTACGTTGAACTTCAGTCAGTTGGTCTTATTTCCATAATTTATTTGTCATTCACTATTTATTTGTATCTGTGTTTGTGTGTGTGTCGTGAAGTACTGTTGCATATCTATTATGTTGTTTATTGGGAAAACTATGAAATTAACATTTTTCTGATTGAATTTAGTGGAAATTTGTTTTTACATGACTACTTTTTGTCACAATACTACTAATACTGCTACCAATAACAATAAGTAATATTCTAATTATATCATCATTTTTACTTCAACCGCTTCAGATAAACCCTCAACTGTTACCACGTAAAGAATGCGGACGTCTAACAGAATCACAAGTCGATGTCTTAACTCATGATTACCCCAATGATGTGGCAATTAACTATGGACAGTATGTTACACCAGCTACAGTACCTGGAGCCGAAGTTATTGTCTTAGCTGCAGAAAAACTTGGCAAAAAGAAGAATCATCAAGCTTCTGAAGAATCTAAATGTGTTGAAAATTCGGAAGAATGTACTAAGGAAGGTATAATTGTTATTATTACTATTATTACTATTTGAAGCTATACGTTGTCCTTGTGAAATTTAATGTCCTTTGAGTGGGTATGTGGCGCTTCTGTTTCAATATCCCAGAATAGGTTGAACGCAGGTGGGCAATTACGGTTTGAATTTCCTCGGGCAGTTGTCTTATGCATGTATGTGCTTTTGTATTACGTGTTTAGAGAAATGCTGTAATTATGTCAGATTTCATAATTGTTTGTTTTTTAAAAGTATTTTATCGACTTATGTACACAGCTGGAATATCCGTTGTGGCATTCGGTATACCATTCGCGATAGCTTTTATTCTCACCCCTGTCCTAATGCTGTCTTTTTTAATAATATTATTCAAGCTACTTATAAGTAGTGCACAACTGTTATTCCAAAAAATATTGTGGGTTAATTTCCTTGTTATCTTTTCCCGTCTATGAATAAGGTGATATGTCATGGGAATCGTGTTCAGATGATGATGGCGATGATGATGATGAAGACTCAGAAGATGGCGAATCATCTGGTGAATGGGTTGACCTATCGCATTCTTCAGAAGAGGAGAACGATGAAGAAAACTCTGCTGATATGGTTGGGGTGGAAGGCAACGACGGTGATGAAAGTCAATCGAAGAAGAAGAAGCCAAATATTGATCCTAGTGTTTTAAAAGCTGAAGCTTTAGAAATAGCCTCTTCAAGAGTATTTACACAAGAAGAGTTTGAAGCAATGAGAAAATATCAGCAGACAAAGCAGGTAAGTTGAATGGCTGAATAAATAGCCGCTGTTGTAAAATATCAATAACTTATTTGCTTTATAATACGGTACGGTAATGAGGCGTCAATGGTTCAGCAGGTAGAACGTTCACCAACTTCGCCACATGTGATCCGAGTTTCGATTGCCGACCTGTAGAAAGGCCGGGAAGGTTGGTTGTGAGGCTAGTCACTGCTACAGAAACTCCGAAGCTCAAGCTTGAAGCCCTACTATGTCCCACTCTAAACGTAAAGGAATAAAGTAAATAATAAACATCGTCCAGTAATATTTGCCAGCCAGATTGAAGGGATTTGAACGCCGAACGGATGTTCCGCTTGTTCGCAACTGAGCTTATCCAGTCGTGTACAAACTTTAACTCAACTCAAAGAGGCTGAGTCAGTTGAAATCAGTCGAATTCGAGCTGGCTACTTAAGGGTGAGCTGGTGTAATACATTGGACAGAATTTGCAGTGTGCAAATTAATTCGTTTTATGAAGTCCATATGGTTTGAGGTGAAGTTCCACTGGAGTTTCTTTTGGAAACCACAGTTAATCAGATCACAAACTGTATGAATTACTTGAGAATGTGAGTGGCAATCAAGAGTGAAATTATAAGTGTATAACGATGTATTGAGTAGTTGGTCACCGGTCATATGAACCAGTAGTGGTACTTGCTAGCCAGATCATCGAAATGATCTAAAAACCCTGACAGCCGTTTGACGTCAGTCAATCAGTAGTACATATATAGCATCATACATCTATGCTTGGTTTCTTGATTGCCAAATATGGTATCAAGCAAATCACATACTTTGTGATCTGTTGTCAGTCTTTCTTTATACGCAGCAAAACCTTTCTGTATAACCTTAGTCCTATTATCAAAGTCGATTTTATGTCCCACTTCTATCGAGTACGGTGCAATTGGTCATTTGTTTTCCAGTCTCTTCAAAAATACAGATGTCTTGGAGCCATTATTGTTTATGCTTCTTCATTCTTAAATTTACCTGTTCGTAAGTTCCTCCTACATATACAGTGTCACAATCCCAACAATTGACCTGGTATACAACTCACAATTGCGTTGGTTGCTTTCTTCTACGTTATCCTTAACCTTCACCAGTGATGAGCGTAAGGTGTCTATAGCACAAAAATACTCGCTTATATCATGGTTGTTAAGGATTTGCTTTATCTTATCCGATATTTCTTTGCTGTAATAAATCACCACTGTAATAACTGGAGTCTTAGCAACAGGTTTTGATTCATCCTTATCTTCACATTTGAAATATCTTTTTATGAATACTTTGGGATAATTATTTGATTCAGGAGTAGATTGAACCAATTTTAGTTCCCTACTGATCCCTTCCTCCGCAGTAACTAGACATTTGCCTCTATTAATCAGATTCTTGACCGCAGTTACTTTGGTGTTAAAGGGATGTGCTAAAAAGTAATCTAGTCCGAATGTATCGGCTTTCTGAAAGTGTTTATTTTATGTTTACCATCCGGTTATCTTTTAACTAAACAGTCCATGAAGGCCAAATCATTCTCGTCGGATTCAACCTCTTTGGAAAACTTGATGGTTTCTAACATATTGAGTATATTAAGTGAAAAAGTTCACTCAACATACTCCGTCTGATTATGACGAGGTATCGTCCAAATATCTTAACCACGTCCTTGGAGGACTAGAGAGCATCTACATCATTCAACAGCTGTATGACAAGTGGTACATGTCAAGTGATCCACAGAAGAAAACTTAGTGAAGCATTTGAGGTGAAAACTGGAGTAAAACAAAGCTGTCTATTATCACCGAGGATATTCATAATTGTGCTGGACTGGATTATGCATCAGACTCCGGATGCGGAGCCAGAAGACAAGAATACGCTGATCCAATAGGACGACTCTAGATGACCTGGATTTCGCAGATGTTTTGTGTCTAATGTTACACAAACTCGGAGAGTTACAGTTGAAAACCAACAGAATGGCAGAAGAAGCAGCGAAGACAAGATTTCAAGTGACCAGCATAGAGAAGACGAAGGCGATAAAGATATCCGATAACCAACCAACCTACCAACAACAGCAGCAACAACCACACCAGTCATTAGCAACAGAATAAATTTAAAAGAAGTCACTTTCTTCACTTCACTAGGCAGAATCGTTTCAACTACAGGCGGTGTCAAAGTCAGAATCAGAAAGGCAAGATTCATCACATTCATCAATCTGAAATCAGTTGCGAAATCTACTTCACTCTACATAGGGAACAAGATTTGATATTTCAACGCCAATGTTAAGTTAGTCAGCTCCTCCTATATATACATCAGAAACACGCACTGCGCATCACAAAAAGCATTTCCAACTAGTTGCAGATTTTTGTCAACAGCTGCTTTCGTTAGCTCCAGTGTGAATATTAGATGGCCAGTCATAAAGAATTAACATCAAGAAACTCTGGGGATGAACCGATCAATAACCTATTGTTCAGCAAATATTCTGATGATGGATGGGGGATTGATCGAGCATTTACTGAGGAGACCGTAGCGTGGTGATATAGCCCGCCAAACCTTCGAGTAGAATCCGAATGGGGGAACGATGAGTTGGATATCAAAGTATATGACATAAAAGGGATTGCGTGAGTAGGAGTTTCCACAGTATTAGGATTATTTTGAAAAAAATTTACATGCATTACTTCCTTGCATAATGTCATCATCATCGTTCACTACATTCATGGTATCTTTTATTTGTAACCTATGAAATGTTTTGCTTTATTTTTTCCCCGCATAGAAACGTTTTGCCGCCTATGGTTCTGTACGAAATAAACAAACAGATTCATACTTTATTATTGATTCTGATGAAGAGGAAAATGCAAATGGTATCGGTGTACAAAATAAGGACGGTAGCCTTGGGAATCTGGTCAGTATGAGTGCAATTACTCGACTGGTGAAACGTCCACGTCAAACAAAAGCAGAACGTATGGAAACAATTGAAGAAGGTCGTATTGGACGTGAAAAATATGGTTTTAAGGTAATGAAATGCTTGTTTTTTCTTTTTGCTATTCATCAATAAATGAAATAATTATTCTCATATTTTGAGATATATGAGAAAAATGCACAAACGGTGAAGAAAATTTTCCCTTTTCGATGATTCATTTTTATGAACTGTACACTCATAATTCATATTCAACAAAAAAAAATCTTTAGACCAATCAGATACTGGTAAACTTTGTCTTTGAAGAATTTTATTACATAATGTAAGGTGTAAGAAGGGGATGACTAATAATTGTAAGTTAGAAAAGAGACAGAAGTTGACATGACGTTAATAACAGTGAGATAAGGAATATAGCCAGTGAGCTCGTGTAGAATGGACATGGAACTAGTGGAAAGACTATAAAGTGTTTTTGTATAAAATCTGTATGAAAGAGCAGTGTTATTAATAAACTGTAATAGAGTGGTATTCAACCTGAAGCCAATCTGGAAATCTTCGTCACTCAGCCTGCATCAACAACAAAATTCAGTCGGATCTTCAATACAAACACGTCAAGTCAGTCAGTTCTTCTATACGGATCAGAAACTTGGCGGGCGGGCGGATCACAAAGAATATTCCCAACAGCCTGTTGCAGACCTTCGTCAACCAACAACTGTCTTCGCTGGCTCTATACTGAAAATCAGATGGCCGGGGCCGGAAAGAATCACCAACAAGAAACTCTGACTGGGATCAAACAAACAAAACAAGAACCAATCGCCAACCAACAAATATGCAGGAGAAAGTGGAGATGGATTAGACACTCGCTCGCTGAGGAGACCGCTGGGTGACATTGTGCGTTAGGCAATTGCTCGAGTGGAACCGGAAAGGGAAGAGGCGAGTGGGTCGTCAGTGCAAGGGTGACATGGAGGAGATCGTTGTAAGAGGAGTTGAAAGAGTATGGACTAACATGGATGCAGGTGAAAAGTACAGCAGAAGACAGAAGTAGCAAGTGGAGATGTGCAGTTAAAGCCCTATTTTCCACTAGGAACCCAAGGGAACAATAATAATAATAAAATAGAGTGGTAATAAAGTGTGGATGATGGGAATAATAATGATAATGAAAGTATTAAGAACAATAATAATAATAGTGAACTTACATATTAAAGGAAAGAAGCAAAATTGTAGTAAGAACTTTACTCTGTCCATGGTAGGGCAAGAGAATTTATGTATCGCTTTTGAATGGAGAGGTCCGGTTTCAGATCTCGAATAGCTAATGCTTCAGCTATGTACAGATGGTGTATCCGAAGTACCTTTGTACGATATTGAGGGACTCTGTGTAACACTGTGAAGCATTCATGCAAGTGGGGGTGCTCGATGTCCGGAGATGACAAGGTGTTCGAGGATCAATAATAATAATAATCACTTTATTCCACAACAATAACAATTTACAGCATGGAATTTTCAGCGTTTCTTTTACATATTGCAATGGTTTAGCTCTGTTTATAATTATATAAATATATAAAATGTTAAAATATTGATAGTTAATAGGAAAAAATAATAAAAAAATAAATAAATAAAAATAAAAAACCCAACAAAATCATACCATTTCTAGGTCATAGTGAATAATAAATAAATAATATAACAAATAACACTTGCATTAATATGCATCATTACACTTTATAGTTTAGTTACTGATTCAAAAGTTGTAAAAGTTCTTTTCTGATATTTGTCTCTTCACACAATACTCGTGCCAAATATGGAACGGTCGAATTTTTATATTTTGTAGTACGAGCATAAATGTTTATAAAATTTCTTCTGGTCTTACCCGAAGAGATACAAGGAAACAATTGTGAATAAAGAGGATGTTCACTATCAGATAAGATAACTTTAGCTAAGTGTTTACAAGAATTCATATGCCTATTGACAACAGTGTCATTTAGTTCAGTCAAAGGGATAGCACTGTAAATTGTTATTGTTGTGGAATAAAGTGATTATTATTATTATTATTATTATTATTTATTATTATTATTATTATCAAGCTTTTTTGTCCTCTGGCTAACCAAACTGAGCAGTGTTCCAGAATGACGTTGCGTACGGCCGATATACTTTACACCACACGAGCAAGTAAATTGATAAATACACATTGAAGTGGCCAAAAGCGGTATCATGTCCTTAGCAAGTAGACTGGATTAACTGTCTGCAGGAGAATGTGATACGTAGAGTGGCTGTTGGAAATGTCTTCTTCAGACTTTTAGAAAGGCGGTTTCTGAGAATTTCTGCTGCTTTTGTCTCTGTTCTCACTTACAATTAGTCATCCCTTCTTACATCTTACATTATGTAGTACAATTTTCAAGGACAAAGTTTACCATTATCTGATTGGTCTAAAGATTTCTTTGGCAATTATAATTACGATTGTACAGCTCATGAAAATGAATCGTCGAAAAGAAACTTTTCTTCGCTGTTTGTGCCTTTCTTTTTTTTCTATTGTTGTCGCTGATCACGGTCTATATTGGTGTATATTTCCAAGTTCTGTTTATTTATGGAATGACTGACTGAGTCCCAAGGTAGAGCGTTGCGTAGAAGTATGACAGTGTTCAAGTTGAGGCATACAAAGGCATAGAGGAAGGAAGAAGAAAAATCATTAAAACTATTAATGAACAGAAGAAATGTACGGGGAGAAGGAACAATAACACGTAAAAACCATGACGACTTTCTGCTTCTGAAAGATAACACTGAGTGAATACAACTGCGCTATTGAGAATGGTTTCGACAATGATCTCTAACCATTGGATCTGAGACTCCCGAGAACCCGAGCCAATGGTTTACACCAGCCCCCCCCCCCGCCTACATAGCCGGTTTAAACCACTAGTCATAGACTTCATGGATTGAGGCTCTGATTTGATTTGACACTAACTAATCAGGTTAAACAAACACCCTGACTGGTAAATAGACCTATGTGATGCCTTGAATAAAGGCGATGCTCAGATTTCCATATGATGATGGTTCTACAAATTTTATTGCACGATTTCAAGTGTCTGTCCACCTTAAGACTAAAAAGTTGCCTTAAAGGAGCATCATCTGCTTCAAAAAGTCTTTATTTTTGAGTATTCCGAGGAGGAATAAAGGTGAGAAGAAAGAGACAGAATTTAAAATTTAGTAAACTGTAAAAGTAGATACAGAGTAAAACGCGATTTTCTTAACTTCTTTATATAGAAGATTAGATGAAGTATTTTTCTGAATAAAGTTATATACTACTAAATAATTCAGGTGAGTAGTTGCATTAAACACTCACACGTCAACCAGTAGTAAAAGTACATGATGTGGGAAGACGAGAAAATGATCGTAAGAAAAACATGATCTAGGTCAGGAAATATATATACATTAGATCATTGGAAGTGTTAGAAAGACGAAGAAGAAAATTTGTCTTTTCGACTCAATCATCAACTAGGTTGTACATACGTGTATTTTTTGTAAATGTATGAGAATGTTCCAGATATGTGTCCGGTCAAGGGTTAAATTAGTAACACTGCAAATGCGGTTGAAAATGTAATAACAACAAAATAAACATGATTTTGGATGTAAAAAAAACAGTAGTGCAATAGGGATAAAAAAACGTAAAACGGAAATAAACAGGAAGTCTGGATAAGAAAAGTGTAATAGGATGATCAGTATTAAAGGAATTAACCTGATGCTCACTAGAGACTGGCCCCATTCAGGGGTTCTAGTGGGAAGCCGTGACCGGTAGGGTGCAGCAGTTTGAAGGTAAGGTAGTAACTCATCGAAGAAGACACATTGCGAAGAGATCGCCCAGAAGTTAGAATTCATGGGCTGGAAGTGAATTGGGTGCCAGTGTCCTAATGGTCCACAAGCTCTCTGGCCTTGTAACGAGAAGGTTCTGGGTTGGAACCCAGTCAGTAGGTGCGTATTGCCGAAGAGTCCCAAACTAGGCTGACGACGCAGCTGTCCAGTGCTCCCAGTGTTGGTTTTTCAATGGTTGTCTAACTGATGTCAGCTCATCATGATGAAATCCTCCAACCAATCAAACAACCCAAATCCCTACAAAACCAATACTTGAGAATTGACTTTTTGTGATGGTCACGATAGAGACAGATGTTAGGGGCTTTCTTTTGGATGCATAATGTAGGCTTGTATTGTTTGGATCGTTAGTGACTTAGAGACACTACCTAAGGTATTTGACATTCGGCTTATTTTCAACTTCAGGGCCTTCTGTGATACAATAATCATGGGAACAAACCACTTCACATGAATCACCTTTGAGATTGAAAGTGAAATTCACAGTTTTGACATTTCAGGAGTCCTAAGATATGAAGTGCTGCCTAGTCCTTCTGTGGTTTCCAAATTCTATAATTTCAAATTCTATATTTTTATGTTTCCTCCTACCACCACCACCACCCCCACTTTTGTTTTCTTTCTATCCTCAAGGTGAATCGTATGAATGCTCATGCAAGTACAACAAATCGTGAAAAATTGAAGAATAAAGCTTTCCAAATGATCAAGCACAAAGTTCGTCGTAAAGTAAAACGTAGTTTTCAAGAGAAACAAGTTGCACTAAGAGAACACTTAAAACGATTAATGAAACGTTCACGATGAAATGCCCAACACACAGACACAACACAACACAACACAAGAACAATAATCAACTTGATTTGTATTTTTTGTTGTTGTTGATTGATTGTTTTTTCTTTTTTTTTCTTTGCTATTTCAATACATGTTTTGCATGGGTGTGTAGTGTTTATGCCTGTGTAAGACCGACCTGTAAGCATCTTATGCGCTATTGACAATTAGTGCTTGCTTCTTGACTCAGTGTGTGTGACGTAATAAATCAATAAATTTTTTTAAAGCAACAGTTTTTGTATATAGCAAAAAGAACTATTGTTTTTGTCATTGGATGATGGATTTTATTTTCGCGTAATTTAACGATGTTTTTTCAAATTTCATGTGTGTATATATGTGTGTGTGTGTGGATGTGAGTTTGCCTGATTTATTCCCTCCTCCTGTACACGTTTTCACTGTTTATATATGCAACCTATATAAATTTACTATTACACGCCGCCTAAGTATTCGTGTATATATCAGAGGGGCGAAGGATTCTTTTACACACACACACACACACATACACAGACACATTAACTTAATATTACTACTATTATTATAAGTTGACCACTTTTGACAAATATAATGCCTATCTATGAATAATTATGTCTTTTCCTATCACAGTCTATTTTATCAACCTTTCGAGTATCTATTGGTTTTATAGATGGAGAGTGCACAGACTTACAAATTATCTACAATCGGGAGGTGTTAGGATGAATAACCCTATTAGATAGTTGGAGGCAATCGGCAGGAAGCCCCATCCAACCTAGGTTTCGTGCTAGTTGGCACTCATCAGCAAGGCGTATCTGCAATCAGCCTGAAGGAACTCATATCCCTTCTCAGACTCAAACCCGTGTCACTCAGTGCTGCAATCACAGACATTACCATCACGCTATTCATGTTCAGTTTCCAATCAAAGTATCGAAAACAGTCTACAGAAGGTTAATAGCGAGTCCAAATAAGTCAGTGCTGACACCTCTGACTACAGCACTGAGTGACTCGCGTTCGAACCTGAGAAGGGACATGAGTTCCTTCAGGGTTGCAGATACGTCTTGCTGACTGGTGAGTGCTAACAAGCCCGAAACCTAGGTTAAGGTAAGGCTTCCTGCCTATTGCCTCCGACTATCTGATAATGACAATTCTGAGTGCATCTTGATGGTGATCGACCTAACACTGTGATTATATTGCAAACTTCACTGAGAGAATTCAGTCTGCACCAAACAAAGGACTAGATACATTACACTAGCTATGAACTGGTTTCCAATCAGAGGAAATATTTTTCAAGAAAATACGTTGAGAATTCTGTATAGTATGTAAACATAATTTCCAGTACAATGTTGATATTATTAATATTATTATTATCATCAATAATATTATTCGAACATCTCAGGTTTGGATCACTAAAGATAGTCATCAATAAGGTGAGTATGTATTACCACTCTGTGTCGACGATACATTTCACATTGTTGTTAGGAAGGTGCATATAAATTCTGTCTGTCTGTCTGTCTGTTTTCGACATAGAACTTTGCACCGATGTGCGGCAGTTCAAGTCACCACACTCCTTCCTTGTAGCACACAAAGCAAGAAAACAAAGTAGAAGAAATGGATAATAGAGACAGTAAACAGAGGTGTGAGACAAAGGAATAGTAATAACGGAGAACAATATAGTTTTGTTGGAAATTATAAGTCACAAGGAGTGGATGCATCTGCGCCAGACATTGACAACGAGGATTTTGAGCCATATCCCCAATTGTTTCCAGTCTCCGTTGGCTTAAAATAACTGTTGTGGATTTTATTGACTGGTGAAGCCATGTTTTGGTTTTTGACCGTCGCTAGCTCTTTTCCATCCTGACTCTATGTCAGCTAACATTGCCCATTGTCGAGGAAGGCGATGACTTGGCATACGTAACACATGTCGTAACCATCTCAGTCGATGTAACTTCACGGCTTCGTAGATTGATTTCCCTTGTTTACCTAGCACTCGACACCTAACCTCAAGATTGCTCACCTTATTATACCACTTTACACGGGAAATAGAACGCAGGCATCTATGATCAGAGACAGCTAAACTTTTCATGTCTTCCACTCTCAATGGCCAGGTCTCACAGCCAGCCATAAAGGAGGACGGCGCAGACTGATGAGCAGTACACACGCCCTTTGGTCGATAGCCGGACGGCGTAAACTGGGATACGCCATACTAGCCTTCTGTATCCGTACTGAGATTTCGTCAGAGACCAACCCGTTGGGGCTGAAAGTACTTCCCAAATAAGTGAAGTGGTCAACGTGCTCAACCACTTCACTCCCTATTTCTAAACTAGGAGTCAGTCTAGTCCAGTCCTGTAGCATCATCTTACATTTGACGGAGGGAGCGAATCGCATGCCAAACATTCGTAGATTGTAGCTGAATGTGTTCAGAAGACACTGCATTTAAATTAACTACCGACAAAATTTTAAAACTCCCGCACATACCCTCTTGCCTGTATTTTCACTTGTGGAAGTAAATATGAAAACATACTACAATTGTTCAACTTTCTTCCGAATTCTTTCCAGAACATGTTTTTCATGGTTCATTCTATGAGTCACACTTATTGTGTAAGAAGGCAGATGATACTTATCCAGTTGCCCATTTACTGCAGTATGTGTAGTGAGATTTGAACTCATGATCCATTGGCTAAAAACACCGAATGTTTAACCCAGTCAACTACATCTTCGAGGATATGAATCACTTGGAAACATGTATATACGAAGAACACATTTATGAGACGCTACATTCACTTCCTTAGTTATGTATCCACCCTTATGAAGTTAGACTATTAGTGTTCCTGTTGGCTTATGTGATTTTCGGAGTAGAGGCAGGCTTCTCAACTTTCTTCACATTCATAATTGATTGATATTCATGTTAAAATCAAACTGGTCTTGGACGTGGGAAACAGCACTGTCGTCTTAGGCAGTTGTATCTGTCCCTCCAATTTGGGAATGATTAGAATTCCACCCTTCTGGAGGATTATTTTACTTGATGTAGCCTTGAAATGGCTTGTATTTTTTGTTATTCGTTAATAGTTGGTGAGATCTATGTATTACTGAATCCGTTTTCATCTCTTCCGATTTAAGGGTTCACAATGTCATTCAAACGTAGGTTTGTGGCTAAAGTCAGGACTTAGATACATTAAATTCCAGTATATCTGTGTGGCATGATAGCATGCTTCATCCTGACAGCCAATTTCATCAACTGACATGAGATTAAATTTCATACTGTCCAATATCCTATAAAGGACTCTTGTGAAATGCTGAAATCCTGTGATGTTCACTGGTAAATTCAAGTTTTAGTTAGGAACATAGGTTTCGTTGAAATTGTCACCCTAATCGATACTGATTACCATACAGAAGGCTCTGAATGACGTCAAGCTGCCACCGTACTTTTAAGAAAAGAAGTAGTTTTTAAGCAGGGTTCGAAACTTTCCATAAAATTACCTTTTAATTTATTAAGTATGCCAATAAAAAGTCAGTTTACTGATCAGTCGATGTTGGCTTCGATATATTTACTATATCATGCGTTGGCGGTGCAGTGACAGATGTTTCGTCGACTACACATGCAGTTCAGGTTTTGATTCCCTGTCAACTCACTCCTCGGCTTCGCCTAGTCGGTAGAAGACCCGGGCAAAGAGGAAAACTTGGTGTGAGACTAACAATCCATCTCATGAAAATAAAACCATTGCTTCTGGAACTTTGAAGGTGGCTGTGAGTAACCAACTACTTTTGAAAGATTATGTATTATCTGCATTACTCTTAAGTCTGTGTGGAGGTCAACAGCTTACAGCCTCAAAAATGACATCCGGATTTTCAACTCCAATGTGAAGTTAGTCCTACTATACGGATCAGAGACTTGGCGAGTCATAAAGAGCATCTCAAACAAACTTCAGACCTTCATTAACAGTTGTCTTCGCTCAATACTACTCAAGATCAGACGGCTAGTCAGAAAAGATCAGGATTAGGGATCTCTGGCAATGAGCGAACCAACCCAGAAGGAACCGATTGTACAACAAATAAGCAGGAAGAAATGGAGGTGGATTGGCCATACTCTGAGAAAACCATCAAGTGACATCACTAGACAAACCCTCGAGTGGAACACGGATGGTAAGCGGCGAGTTGGTCGTCCAAGGGTGACTTGGAGGAGGTCATATGAAGAGGAGATGGAAGCATGTGGGCAGACTTGGAGCGAGGTGAAAAAGTTGGCAGAAAACCGAAGGCAATGGAGACGCGCAGCTGAAGCCCTATGTTCCTCGAGGAATTAAAAGATATAATAATAAATAATAAAAATGCATTATCTGCATAGAGATGATACATCGGAATAAATAACAGGTTGGTCATTTGCCTCAATATGAAGCGAATAAGACAGTAGAAATGCGTCTAATATATGGAAACTTTTTAAAGAAATTACTGGTGGTAAGCAAATGAATAGTATTCCTTACTCCTTTGATGTTTGCACACTAAACAAGTCTTTCATACATTTCCCTACAAATGCCAAACTTTCTAGTGTTACAAGTGTTAATGAAACCTGCTTCCCTGGTTTCAATACAAATGATGTTCTAAAATGTCTCCAGTTTCTGAACCCTTCTTGTAGCCTGGGCCCAGATGGTTTGCCTAGTGTTATTCTTAAAAAGTGTGCAGATATCCTGTGTTATCCTCTCATGTACATATTTAATGAACCTTTTTTCTAGAAATGTGCCAGCTGTTTGCAAGGACATTAAAATTGTACTCATATCTAAGTCGTCTACTGGAACATGTTTTTAATTTAGATCTATTGCTACTACCTCTCCTTTTCTAAAAGCTATGGAAAAGTTACTCTTACTTAATCTTCAACCTTCACTTAAAGCCTTTAACGATCCCAAACAATTCGCTTATAAACACAATAGAAGTACTTTAGATGCAGTTGCAGTCTTGTGCCATAACATTGTCTCCAGCTGAGATAAATTTTTTTCGCTGCACCTTCCTAGATTACACATCTGCTTTCGTCTCAGTACCTAGGGAGATTTTGTTAAACAAGATGGCTGAAACTCAAACTGACTGTTGGGTTGTCAAATGGTTGCATTCTTATTTCTCAGGAAGAAAGCAGTACACTGTTTGTCAGGGGAAGTCGTCCACTCCGCTGCTTACTGAGGCTGGTGTCCCTCAAGGCGCTGTCCTTTCTAGTTTTCTGTTTTCCTTCTTTTTGCATCATTTACCTCACTCTGATGAAATGAACTTTGTTAAGTATGCCGATGATCTAACTATTTCAACGTCTGTTAACCCCCAGCTTGACTGTGCTAAAGTGAATAGCTTTCTGTCAGGAGTTAGCAAATGGTCTTCGCTTAACTGCCTTAAACTAAATCCTTCCAAATGTCAGACTGTTAATTTCAGTTTCCGAACGAAAATTAAATGAAGCCGTTGATTCCTATGACCCTTGTAAAATTGATGATACTGATATAGAAATCAAGTCTGAAGTTAAGTATCTTGGATTAATTCTTTCTTCTAACCTATCC